CGTTCGCTAAATCGATATCCATGCTTTCCTGCTCGCTGGTGGACGCTGCCGCAAAGTATGAAAGCAGCTTGTATACTGAGGCCTCGTTGCCGCACTGCCAACCGTACGCCTGACCGTGGTCAAACATGGTACTTGCCTGAGCCCTCTCGAATTGGTTGTTCTGACTTCGTGTTCGCCGCGAGATCCTGGTATCGGTCGAAAAACGGGGTCCGGTACATCACTCTCCGTCACTGTGCACTTTTATGTGAGGAAAGTGGCACGCGACTGCAGCTGCGGACCCATTCCCCTTGCATATGCCAAGGATCGTCCTCGGAGGTGAGTGTACAGTTTGTCTATAAAAATACAAATTTCGAAATATCGTAACCCCATTCTATTGCGCCAAAATGCCTGCCCATATTGGACTACTGCCGCGCATTATATTGCAGCTATAAGACACAAAAAAAAACGCTCAGTGCGTTAAATTCAGAAAAAGGATTTATCATGTGATGTTAGGCAGCGTTAAATCGTGTTATAATCGAAGCGCCGTGTTACATTTTCAGACAGCTACAGCTTATCCCTATGGTTGGGGTAATTCGTCTGTTTCTGCTGCTACTGTACCGCAGAACTTTCAAAACACTCCCAGTTACCCTATGAAACGACAACCATTCGGGGATGCAAACAAGGTCTGCGGTTCATTTTCAGCTTTTTCATAAAGCAAAAACGGACGAATCAGTTGTGATTGGCCCAAAACAGGTTATATAACAAGAGAAGCTCAGTGTAAACGCGAGACCGTCTGGCACTGAAAATGTACATGCTTATCTCTTGAGTCTCTTGAAGACCCTGTAAAGTACTTGACGCCAACGCCTGAAGTGCCGCTTTATATTTTCAATAAATAACGACTTTACATTGGCTCTTCCCCTGTTGGGGACCTCTGGGAAAGACTTACTGTACCTAGAATGGCATTGCTTTAGACCACAACTGTATCCACAGTCTCATGTTGAAGCAGGAAGTTGAAACAAGGTCCCGACCTCTCCTTCTCTTCTCTTCCTCTGTTCCTTCCACTCTGCTCTTCTCCACGACGGGCAAATAGGAGCATATTAAGAAAATTCTCAAGGGAAGAAGAACTTAGATATCAATTGCGACAGACATTCGTGAAAGCTGTATTTCGAGACGTTGGAGTGCATGCGTCATCAACTAGAAATTCCCCTTTCCTGATTACTGTGGTGTACATTTATGGCCTAAATTCTCACAAAATACACAACACTGTAGATTTGTACTGGGTAGACCTTGCAGTGCCAGAAATGTCTTGCGTTTCCTGAGCTTCTTGGAAGTGACTTTTGTTTAATGATGGCGTTTTAAGATGCCTAAAGCCCAGATGGGTCAAAATCGCACTGGCGTTGCATATGGGCAGTGGGTAGCTCCGGGTGCACGAGCAATGGGTATGGAAGGAAAAAGCTTTCCCGAAAAAAGGCTGGGCCCAACCACCGGTATATATTCTAGACATTCGTAGTTTAAACATTTGAAGACGAACTGTACACTTACACCTGAAGACGGTCCGTGCAATGTGCGAGGTGCATGGGTTGGCAGCGGCAGTAGCGTATCACTTTCTCCGCTCAAAATAGCCGCGGGAACGGTCAGGATATTGCTACCGCAAGTGCCATCTCTGTTCTCCATCTCGCTATCCTCAAGAGCGACACTTCTGTTCGATACCAAAAATCTCGCAGCGAACACGCTGTCTCACACGTTAGAGCAAACCAGAGCATATAGGGCCCATAGACAGGAGCGCTGTAGTGTCAGGCGTGAGGGATGGCATGGCCTCAGCAGGGTGTAGGTTAGACTCCACGAGAGTTACGCTTGCCATGTCTTTCGCTTCGGGTCAGCTCGCGGCGACTGCTGCCGTGATTGGACGAGACCAACACAGTCGTGCGATTAAGATCCCGGTCCCTTCACATAGTTCTGGCATCACGCAAATCTGCTTGGCATTTTGCCAAACCAGAATATTCAAGTGGGACGTCAATATTTTTGAATGGCAGCTGTATATTCAACGGGTGCTGTATTTCTTTGATACGACCTACTTTTCCCGTCTGGTCGCACCGCAAATCTTAGGCCCCTACAATACCTTACAATTGAGGGCAAAAGAAGGATTCACCCTAAAGTGAATTTCTGTAGATTGCTGACGTATTATCTAAATATTATTCCTATGTAAATGGGTATTGTTATACACTAATAGTCAATAGGGGCCCTACCTTCACTAATCTTTCACACCTTCATGCTTAATAAACCAGCAACTGTGGGAAATGCTATTAAACACGCAGCAGGCGCACATAGCAACAACGGCCGGCGATGCGCGGCGGCAGGGCTGACTTCTGCATTTAGTCTAACCTTTGTCCGGTGCTCGAGCAGCGAGCGGGTCAGGAGTGACGCCGTATCGACCATCACTCTCCAGCCGCCTTCCGAAACACTTTGGATCGTAAGTACAATGGACCGTGCTACTGCACGCAGCAACGGCCCATTCACCCTCACACACAGCGCAATACACAGGTCCGCCGGAGTTCAGGGTACACTTTGTCATTTAACATGATTTCTTATCATTTCGTTTCTATCATTGCTATCTCGTAGGTATTTTTCGTAGTTCACATTGCATGTCGTTCATATTCAGTTCGCTCAAAACTTGCAAAGAAGCCACGTAGAATGAATGATCGTATCCTTATTCCTCAAAGATCACCTGCCATTGTCTTGCATCTGTAGCTGTACTAATATATCTAACGTAGTTCTGCATAATTTTTATCCCTTATAGTTATTGTGTATCTATAAGATATTATCGAAGAGGTTAACGCCATCTTAAAGCTTACCGCTGTCTCCTGACTGTGTTGGGGCCAACAGTTCTCAATGTCGCTCTTGTCTTAATATTATATATTACTTCCAAGCATAGTTTTTGTAATGCCATTTTATTGTATTAATTTTAATTGGTGGTGAAGGTTGGTTAATGGCAAGTGGAACGCCCACCATGCGCATGATCCGAGGTCAAATCCCGGATAAGCTTTCCTCAAAACATCCAAACCCTCTATCTTTGGGTTTTTTTTTTTTTATCTCGTTTAATTATAATACTGTGTTTAATCGATGGTGTGTGCTGGATGGGCTAGTAGTTTAGTTTGCTAGGTTTTGGCTCACTAATTTTCAGGCACACTATATACAGTTAAGAATAAATAATGAAACTGAAGAAATGCGAAGCGGAAGAAAGGCGTCAAGAATGCGGGAAGGGACAACGTGTCTTTTTGCAAAAATTTCCCTGCTGATACGTGCCAATAACCCGCTTATCGTAGTGGAGGGGTGACGGGGCTGGGCCGCGATAGCTTATTCATAGTATCCGATGTGGGTGCTTAGTCTGCGAGTTGGTGCGACATGCCGCTTGTTCTATTGTGGTTAGAGAGTGCCTCGGTGGCGGTGGTGGTGCGATAGCTGTGGTATTCGTTAAAAGGTATTATATATATGCTAATTTATCTAGTAGTTGTGTGAGTCGGACAGCATCCAGTCTATGCGGGCAGGCGGGTTGGGCGTCCGCGATCAGCCGTTGCGGTTTTGATAGGGCGTGTAAAGGTACCCATCGACTCTTCGTCTTTACCTTCATGCATATACAAATCCCCACGTAGTATACTGTCACCTATCTCTTACCATCTCTCTGTCGCCTGATCACATCTCTCGCTTCCCGTTATCAGTCTGGCCTCCACCACTGCCCTCCGCTTGCCTCCTCTCCCCTTATGTGCTTCCTGCTCCTTCCCCTACTATCTACCGCTCGTCATTCCCGTCGACTGCCTCACCCCCCCTCCTCTCCTTTCCATCCTTCCTGTCTTTTCTAGCGATCTCCCTAGCTCTATATCTCTTTAGCCTCCTCCTCTTCATATCTTCGCCACAGCTACTTACAATATCCATATCCCCTACTCTATACACAAGCGCGTACATGTCATCTCTTTCTGTTCACAGCTCTCGTCTCAACTTCGAGGGTCTCCCACCTCTGTCTCCTCCTTAACTCTCACACACGCCCCGCCACCTTGCCCCGCTTACCACTCGTGACATAGATGGTCCGCTGGAGAGAAGCTCAGGACACAATGCTCCAATACTTAGATGTGTGATTATGAGCCTGGTCTCAGGAGTGTGACAAACACGTCCAATGCGATTACTGTTTATACGACAAAGAAGCAGCAGATTATCGGAATAGCCTTTCTCGCATAGCCAAAGAGTGGCCAAATAGTTGCTGTTGGGTTGACGACTCGATGAAATCGTCCAAAGGTGCTAAAAAATCCCATAATGATGGTGGAAGGTGATGAATTAATTGTCGACTTTAGGCACCTTGTATCCTTTTTGTGCAGGCTAGGCTTCACCAACAGGGAGGAGGGGCGGAATAGTTAGTCAAAATTTTGAAAAATTCTTATTTCAACTGAGTACCCTGTTTCGGTTTCGGAAAGCGGTGCTGGCAAGACAACGTTGGGATGAAGGGCAAAAAAGAAAATGGCTTAGGCGTTGAAGAAACCCCTTCGGAGTTTCACACAGCCCACTTTCTTTCAAAATCGTAGCTGCATTTTGTTTGGTCTGATTTGAAGGATGATAGGCTTTATTGTCCTCAGCAGAAGTCTATCGGGGATGTGGCCCTAAAGCGCTCACATAGTAATTTGTGCCACTTGCCTTTACACCATCTACATCTTCCCTATTCGAACGATATATGGGGAAGAACCAGATACGTTCCCCTAAAAAGGAAAAATGGTAGGGTCCTAGATCATACCTCAATTGCCAGATATCCTCCTGTGCCGCAACAGTGAAAATACTGGTTTTCTGCCGCGAAATAGCTTGTAAATTCACAGCATCAAGGAAGCATATCCAGCGAATAAGGTGGAATTTAGCGCTGAGATTTCCCATTTTTAGCCGGTACCGTACTAGTCCGTTTCTCAATTTTGGTATTTTTCTTTCACAAAAGAACGGTACTTTTTTTCACAATAGAACCAGTTTTCTTGCAGAAAACGGCTGAAATGGCTTTGAGAACTCTTCGGCCAGATCTGAACATCGCTCCATATGAGGACGGAGTCGTTACCTTACCTGTCAAAGAGGGGACTGTAGTTGCTGTTCGGAAACCTGATAGTGAAGATGCTCCTCCAGCAAAGAAGATCAAGGTATGCAGTTCATTGGTCTGAAACCGACCTATCCATATGGGCCCTTTATTCAGCTGAATGCGTTGGAGTCAGCTCTGTCACTACTTGACTGCATGCGAAAACTCTGTGCAGAACGTGTTTCTGAAGGACCATACAATCCTGTGTTCGATATCACCGACATAACTGAGAATGCTGCTACTACTCCTGGAGAAAAGCGGAAGTTCAGGTGACTAGGCGGAAACACTTCGTTCTACGTTTCTTGTCTTCTATTAATTTCTTTTTCTTTTCTTTCCTTTCTTTTTTTTTTCTCTTTCAATTTCTTTTTTAAGGGCTACTCTAACCTTTGCGGAACAAGGCAAGGTTTACACTCATGAGGGCTTTGGTAAAATATCGACAAGAGATGTGGCAGTGCGTGAGGTATGAAGTAAAGAGTTACTGCCCAAGTAGATCATCATTCAATTCACTTGAACTTTAGGCATTGCTGGATCTCTTTAATGTTCCGCAAGAAGATATCCGCAGAATTGTTCGTCGTCATTTGATGGGAAAGCTTACTGATATGCCAATCATTCAGGTTTTGTTTTGAGAATAACCAGAGAAACGGCTACTTTTCGGGCGTGGTTCAGGAGTTCCGAGTTGCAACATC